AGAGAGAGAGAGAGAGAGAGAAAGAGAGAGAGAGAGAAAGTGAGAAAGCAAGCCACCAGGTCTAGGACTTGCACCGTGGTCAGCCATGTGGGAGTTTCCAGCGCCTTAACCACCATGCTACCTGCTGGTCTCATCCATAGCATTAATCTTAACATATTAAAAGTCTTTTCCTAATTTATGTATGTACATTTAATCCCGAATTATGTATTGCCTACTTTATGTTTTACTATGTTCATGACAAATACAGTGAAACAGCTTATATATCAGTTTTTTTTTTTCTTTTTTTTGGAGGGGGCACCCGGATTATATCAGTTTACAAAGATTATCAGCTCCCATGCATTTTGGAAGAATTAGATATGTAATCACAACTTATTTTCTTTATCATTTTCTGCCCCCTAATACTAGATATCAAAATCCAGAAGAGCTTACAATTTTTCTTTTGTCTTATATTTCATAACTTGAAAATATTAGAGTAAAATAAAGCTAAAGAATGTGGCTAGTGGGAACCAGCAGTTAGCGTAATGGCTATGTCACTGGACTTCCACGTAGTCGACTGCGGTTCGCGTCCTGGACCTGGTGGCTTAAAACTCACGCCAGGCGCGTGTGCATGCGTGCCCAAGATCCTGAGAAGAGAATGGAGGAGAAGGGATTGCGGCGTGACCATCCCCCCTGGGGGGTGATTTCTCGCTTTCTGTCTCTATGTCTCTGTCTGTCTGGCGAATGCATGTGCCCTATAGTGAAAAAAACCTCTCAAATAAAAATGTGGCTAGTATCTACATTTTCATCAACAACAGAATTAAAGTATAAATTTATTTTGGTGCAAAAATTATGAGATACATGCATAGTTTTTTCATAATACATACTTCCTGTATGTATTATGTATCTTTTTGAAGATCCCTTGTATTAACAAATTCTCAGTTGGCAGACACAAATAGCTGTACATGCTTGTCTTTATCCTTACTCAGGCTGTTTCTCCTATCTCATAAGTAGGTTGGAGCAGAGTGTGATGACAATTAGTTCTGGGCATTAGAAAGGTAAATTTTATGGGGGCTGGGGAATAAGATGCTCTGTGAGGCTGACCCTTGTGGGAAGGTTCTAGGTTCATGTCTGGAGAGCCCCCTGAATATGTTTGGTGTGCATGTGTGCCCATAAATCACTACTGGCTAAGGTTGGGAACAGCTCATGATGTCAAGACCCAGGGGAAGTCCTGTCTCTTTGTCTCTCTCTCACTCAGGGAAAATACGCACTTAAAAAAAAAGGCCAACTGGTGGCATGGTGGTTAAGGTGGCTGGTTTCCACATGGCCTACTACATGGTTTGAGTCCTGTACCCAGAGCCTTGAAAAATATGCCAGGTGCATGTGCGTGCATGCCTAAAATCCCAAAAGGGGTGTATGGAGACAGAGTGTGTGTAATCATATCCCATTGGAGGGTGATTTCTCTCTCACTTTGTTTGGCAAGGGCATGCATCCTTCGGAAAAACTAAAAAAAAAATTAATTAATTAAAATTTTAAAAGTAATTAAAGAGAAAAGGAAAGTAGTGACTTTATTTTTTTATTTATTTATTTTTTTGAGAGGTTTTTGCTTTAGGGCACATGTGCTCGCCAGAAAGACAGAGAGAGACAGAGAGACAGAAAGCGAGAAATCACCCTGCAGGGGGATGGCCACGTCGCAATCCCTTCTCCTCCATTCTCCTCTTGGGATCTTGGGCACGCACACACACGTGCCCAGTGTGAGTTTAAGCCACTGGGTCAGGGACTCAAACTGTGGTCAACTACATGGGAGTCCAGCGACATAGCCATTACACTAACTGCTGGTCCCGGAAAGTAGTAACTTTTGATGTCATTTCTTTAGCACGGCAAAGTAATATCTGGCATGAGACACTCCTTATCTCCTTATTTTTGACTTATGAGATATCAGAAAGGATGAAGTATCCATGAATACCAATTAATATCGTAAATAACAGGCTTTACAAATTGACAAATACATTTGTTTTTATACAGATAATTTACTCAAACACCATTTGTTAGAACTAAATGTTAGGGATGAGATTTTAGACCTCTTATTTCATCTCCCACTAGAAATCCACATGCCATTCCAGGGAAATTTATCATAGGATGAATACATAGATGAGCTGTGTATGTTTAGATACCAGGCCTTTTTCTTTTGAATAATAACTTTCTGAGTAATTATTTCTTTGTTTTAGTTATTTATGGGGCCCATGCACTTGTCAGGGTGAGAGAGAGGACAAGAAAATGAGAAATCACCCCTCCAGGGTGGGTGGCTGTGTCACAATCCCTTCTCCATTCACCTCTTGGGATTTTGGGAACACGTGCACATGTGCCCCACATGCCTTTCAAGCTGCCAGGTCTGGGAATCGAACCATGGAGTTGGCCATGTGGGACTCAGTGTCTGACCCTTTAAGCCACCTGTTGGCCCAATACTTTGTTTTAAAACAATGAATATCCACTAAATATTTTCACTTATTTCATATGAATACATTCTCCTTTGTTGAAATGATACAGTAATAAAGTCTAGTCACAGTTATAATTTTTTTTCTTTCGTAGAAAACCACAGTAGCATCACAGTATTTGAAAATATATTTTAATGCTTATTTTTCTAACTATACTTCCTGGAGAGCTATATATCCGTTTAGTGGAAAACATTCTTCACTAGGCCTGCATAAATAGAGTACCTGGGCTCTTGCTCTTAAATGTGTCCTATAGCTTTATTTTTATTTCTCACTGTCTCTGCCTCTATTTCTTTCTACCTCTTTCCATTCTTGATTTGCCTTCTCTATCACTACCTCCGCGTTCCTTTTAAATAATCATCAATCTCTTCAGAAATTATTTATTTTCCTTATGGATTCAAGCTACATCTGTGCTTTATTGGCCTCCGCAGTAATTGACAACGTTTATGGGCACATTGGCACCTATCTTTTCAGCGAACATTAGCTGCAAGTTACAGGCTGGGACCACGACAGTTCGAGAAGAGGCAAATCTGTACTCAAAATTATCTGGACCACTCTCGTTTGCGTGGGTAACAGCATTTGTTCTGAATAGTTGGCAAGTAGAATACAGACTAGGAGCCAAAGCGATCACGCAGCTGCGTACGTCCTCTGGCACTGGGCGGACCTCCCTGGGTCGTTCTACAACTAGGAATTGCAGGCTTCATTGCCTCTACATTTGTCTGACTCTTTATTGAAGGCGACAGGGCGACAACCACAAGATTGTCAGAAACTGTTAAAAGTGAGGACCAGGAACGGTTGCCTACTGTGTCTAACTCCGGGTGAAAACTAGGCAGAAATTTGGGGGAGCTCTATGCATGGCGAGGTTACTCGTTAAGCACGAGGGGAGAGCGAACATTTAGGGATCACCCGAGCTCGCGAATTACAAATGCTTCTAACACCTGCAGCAAAATTTTCCATCAACAGACTGAAATGTTAAAAGTGAGGACCAGGAACGGTTGCCTACTGTGTCTAACTCCGGGTGAAAACTAGGCAGAAATTTGGGGGAGCTCTATGCATGGCGAGGTTACTCGTTAAGCACGAGGGGAGAGCGAACATTTAGGGATCACCCGAGCTCGCGAATTACAAATGCTTCTAACACCTGCAGCAAAATTTTCCATCAACAGACTGAAATGCTGGGCGGGGGCTGCGCGGGAAAGAGCAGTTTTCGCGGCCTGGGTCGCGCCCCGGGTC